ATATCTGACTGCTTGCTTGCGCACCTCAATTATCCTAGTTTGGCTATAAACACAATCCTGGTATTCACTGGGGGCAGGAGCTATTTTCTCCCCCTCAAAGCATTGACAACACCACCAGTTGCAGGCACTGGACCTTTTTGATTTCTCCCTCCCTCCTTTTGCCTGTACCACCTTCCTTGCCAGAAGAAAATGCAGATTTTCCCAGTGTTTGGGCAAGAGTTAGCTGCTGTAAAGGAGCTAACTCTCATCATATCAGGAAGTCCAATCTTGCTGTTGAAATGAAATTTGACTGCTCTTCAATTCTGGGAAACTGGCATTATAAATCATGTATTCTGTAAGCTTTCCTGAAATGCTTGCACATGTACCTACTCACTTTTGAGTACTTGTCTCCTGATTCTACAGAGCCAATTGTTTCTTCTATACATCAAACAATAGTTTGGTCCAGGTGCTCCACTGAAAACTCGTGTATCTACTGGCTTCCCCGCCCACACACACCTTCACTCCCCACCTTCCCTGCATTCAGCTGAAAATTTGAAGGGGAGCTGCACTCAAATCAGCAAAACAATAGTTTATATTAATTATGAATGAAAATGTGCCTATTTTGAGCGGTGCTATTGCATGCCTTCTGAGCTGCGTCTTTTGTATTTTCCTCTATGGGTTGGCACAAGAAGGGCTCGTACCCCTGCTGCTACTAGTGCAGGCTGGGGGTGTGTCTGGGGGTGGAGTTCTGGAGTGAAGCCACAGGCATTTAAAGGGCCTGTGGAGACTGAGGGAGCTATTTTGGATCTGACTATGTTCAGAGAAGCACTGATTGAGGAAGAGCGGGAACTGCTGTCAGCAAACTTGGATGCTTCTGCTGCAACTGGTGAAGATATCTGCCTCCCCCATTCCTAGTTTAGTTTAACTGTGGTTTTTCATTAGTTTCACTTTAAAGCAGTGTGGAAAGCGTTAGAAAGAGAGCGAAAGAGTGGGATTCCCTCCTTTCCTTTCACTTTCATTTTCCTTGCAATCAAAAGGACATTCCCTCCCAGACCCTTCTGACAAATAAATCCTGCTTGCATCTTTGGGGGAATTAACTCTTCCAGTTAGAGGGTTGGCACAGGTAATAATGAGAGAGCCAGTTTGGTCTAGTAGTTAAGGCACCAGGCTAGAGTCTGGGAGAGCATGAGTTCTAGTCCCGCCTTGGACACGAAGCCAGTTGGGTGACCTTGGACTGGTCCCTCTCTCTCAGCCCTGGGAAGGAGGAGGCAAGGGCAAACCATTTCTGAAATCCTGCCAAGAAAACTGCAGGGACCTGTCCAGGCAGTCGCCAGGAGTCAAGACTGATTCAAAGGCACACACTTTACACTGGCACTAATGCAGATAGAGCTTTTGCTTGCCAAGGGCCTACCGGAAGTGAATGGACACCCTGGCTGACATGTCAGCACTATCACTTCTTCTACCTTTGTCCTCCCTTCCTCAGCCTCTTTCAGCTTGATCCCATCTGGCATCATCACTCTGCAGGAGGAGAAAGCAGATGCCTAAATGTGCTCACATTTCCTTACAGTAGTCACCCTCTCCCTCTCCTGGCCAGCAGACTTTGTCCCCCCCATAAGATTTCTTTGAGAAGGTTTTATAGGAGTAAAAAAAAATGGCATAGCTAGCCCTAAGGAGGGGGAGAGGCTTGGGGGTGACGGGACCTTAAAGGCAAGCCTCTTTCGAGAATCTGTGTGTGATTGAGGGAAGAATCCCTAAATGAGGTCATTTAAGAGAGGCACACTAGATGAGACCCATGTGGCTCTCCCAGCCCTTGAACAGCACCCAAAGACTTTATGGGGATTAATCTAGTCCCTGCAGCATTTAAGTTGCAGTAAAATATATCTACCATCTTCTCTCAGGCCCATTCTCACCTTCATACAAGATCAGTGATCATGTTGATGAGTGAAGATTGTCTGCATCAGACCTTGACACATAAGCTATGCACACCCCAGCAGCCCAGATAGAAGAGGGCTGTTCTGTTTCAGGGTTCCCATGCCATGGCTTGGCTGCCTGGAATGTAACCTGCTGCTAAAGGGACTTCATATGGGTAGGCTAATACAGAGTCTGCCAAATAAAGTAGATACTTTGAGAGAGAATGCTGATGGTAAATATCAAGAATGTGGGGATACAATGGCAGGATAATTTACAACTTGTGTTGGTTAGCATTTGGCTCCCCCCCCCCGCAACACACACACAATTATATATTACAGTAGTTCAGTTTGCTTGTTGTGGTCTGCTAATAATGAGATTCAGGGTGCTTTTAAAACTAAAGTCAATTTTCCTGCAAGGGCTCCACAACCAGCAGAATAAAAGGGGATATATAGACTGTACATCCGTATCTAAGCTCAACAAGCATTGCCCTTTTTCCTCCTGTCAAAAATTGTTTGGTTTGGTTACCTGGTCATGCATTGGCTGTTTGCAAACCTTTGCCTGCATTTTAGACAGCAAAGACTACTTACTTCAGTGTTGTATTTTGTGGACATGCTGAGCCTCAGTGTTGACTGCATTCTACATTCTCCTGGGTCCCAATTGTGGAGATGTCAAAGTGCATTTAGAAATGCCAAGACTCTCTGCCATTGGTTTGGGAGGTTTGATGAGCTTGGGTTATTAGTTTGGCCTGTTCATGGCACCTCTTTTGTCTTTTTTAGTGCCTCAAAGGTAAAAAGAAACTTGTTTGACGAGGAAGCATTTTATTATATAAATTAAGGAAGGGAGTATTTTTGTGGCTCCTTGGTGGGGTTTCTCCTGGGCAGTATACTCATTGCTAAATTTCTTTCATAAACGTCCCCAGACTCTGTATTTGGCCACTTGGGCTAAAATTGCTGGTTGAATCTGCTGAATCTGATCCTAGAGTAATTACACTGATCAGGTCCCTACTGATACATTAAATAGGAGAAAGGGAGTGAGATTGAAAACATTTTTGAAGGGAACCCATTTATCTAGACTGACTGGAATTGCTTTTCTTCTGTCTGTTGAACCTTGAGGCAACTTGCCAGGGAGGTAACTGGGAGGAATGTGAGGATGTTAACATGTTCTTTTAAAAAGATCACAGAGAAATCTCACATTTTTTTCACTTAGCATCCCACCCCGGGGAAAAGGATGCCCAAGTGTCAGTATAGCAAAAAAATTTCTTTTATAGTTTCTAATGAGTATTTTCTTAAATGTTTAAAAATGTTATAATTGGCTAATTTTTTTCTGCAAGTTGTATAGCAGTCAGCGTGGATTATTAATCACCCTAGCTGTTCTTGTGGGCCTGGAGTAAAAAACAAGGAAGTCAAGGTTATTCTTTGAGTTCTCCTTGTTACCTGTGTCTGGAAAATTCAAAATATTTTGAGTTTTATTCCAACAGATCACACAACACTAGAGCTGTTTCAAATTTTGTTCCGCTGGAATGCAGCCAAAAATGCTCAGATAGAATGATCTAGATAGGGCTATTTC